CTGGAAGAGCAGTCAGTGCTCTTAACCTCTGAGTCATCTCTCCAGCCCTGTGAGTCAGCACTTTTCTTGAAATGTTTCCTCAGTCGTACACTAAAGCGATAATGTCCCTAGATTTGGAATGTAGCACAGAGCTAGAGCGCTCTCCTAAGGTGTGTGAGACCCTGAGTTCAATCTTTGGCAAAGCAAAGCCAGCCCAATCGTTTCTTCCTGAAAGACTACATGGGAACATCAGGGTCCTTGGTGAGAGCCACCTCAAAGCATGCTAGACTGTAGAGAATTAATGAGTACAGCAGAAATAAGGAAGAAAATTTTTAAGGTGTGTGTTGGCAAGACTCAGAAGTTCTGAGTAGGGAGGGCTTGGGAAAAGAACACCAATGAAACAAAAGGATTGCATGATTTGCACCTTGGCTAAATAGTGCTCAAGACAGATTTGAATATGTCTGGATTCTGGTAATTTCTTTTAGATTTTTGTTTTTATCTTACGAGTGTTTTGCCTAAATGTGTGTATTACGCCACATGCATACAGTGCCTGAGGAGGCTAGAAGAGGGTATCAGATACCCTAGGACTGCAGTTACAGACAGTTGTTAGCCACCATGGAGGTGTTGGGAACTGAACCAGTGTCTCTAAAGAGCAGCCAGTGCTCTTAATCACTGAGCATTCTCTCTATCCCCTCCAATAATTTCTTTCTCAGTGTTGGCATTTGAACTCAGAATACCAGGGTCTAGGTAAGTTATACCACCGGGCTACTATCATCAGTCACTCGAAGTGTATTCTGTCAGGAAGAGCTCAGCAGACCTAGCTAGTGGCCATTCTTGGCTGCCCGTACATTGTTTGCTCTGACAACACAACAGGACAGTAAGTCTCTGTTGAAGAAAGCCTTTACTGCAATTGTATTAGTGAATTGCAGACACACCTGTGCCTGCTTCTTCCTGTAGTTCTGGGGTAATGAATGAAACAAATGTCCATGGGAAATGGACAAGGAGCAATTCCAAAAGTTTTTTTGAAATTCCTCTCTTGCTGGTGTTAGACCCCTGGAAAAACTCAGGTATCCGGGGTCCAAGGCCACGACCTCGGTCACCCCAATCACCAGGCAGATTTGAGAGCTTGATGCAAACTGCATGGGGCTTTATTGTAATTTAACGAGCTAACCCCATGTTAGCTCGAGTCTTTCACCCACCCACCATGGCGGATGGCTACAACAAAAGACAGCTCCTAGGGGCTGCATAGAGATCTTGTAGGGCAGCGTAAGGGGAGTGTCTAAGGGTACGCACAGGCTCGCGATTGGTGTGCCTCCAGGCTTGGAGGGCTTGCCCTGTGTTGATTGGCCAACTGGTTGTTATGGCCCATAGGCCCTCCCAGGGTGGTTGCTATGCTCCGTGTGTCATTGCTGTGCACTTGTCCATAAAGCACACCCAGTGCCATAAAGCATAGCGCCACCAGCTAACTTCTGATTGGTTCCTTGCCACAAGGCAGGCATCTGACTTCTAGTGACTAGGACAAGGTCATGGCAAGCAC